CTTCTCCATTTCCACCGGCAACCACTTGGCCACTCGTCGCACCCCATTTCCATTCCACAATACGATGATTCAATGCATCAGCGATATAGATTGTTTGATCATCATCATCAACATACAAACCCCATGGACAGTAGAGCTGATTGATTCCATTGCCATATCCATTTCCTCCAGCCACTGTGAGACCATTCTGTTGCCATCGAGCATTTGGATGAATGTCAATGGAACTTCCACGTAACGGATGAACTGAAACAGAGCGAAAGAACACGATAAAATGACAAAATAAGAGGGAAGATAAAGACAAAGAGACCATAGAGAGAACAAAAGTGAAAAGTTTTTTTGGCAAAATTACCATCAAAAGTTATTTATCGGAAAAAATCGATCCTTTTATCAGGCTGCCATAAATATTTGATATGACCTCATCGGTATCCGACAAAACTCATCACAATTTGTCGGATTTTGGCATTTTAGGCGACTATTGAGAAGGATTTCACCTATTACGGTCGCCGTCGACAAAAATTATATAAATTCCAATCAGTCGCCGACGAATATTTCGCAAAATAAAAACTTGTCACTCCCATACCGCCGATCACCCCACCCACGCACACGGTCACTCAAGAAATCCAACAACCATAGCATTCAAAGTAATTGATCACTCTCGAGGATTTCTATAATGACGAGAAATACAAGAAACCAAAACATCAGAGACCATTCACTTATGTTAAGCCGTTCTAGCTAATCAAGAAGTCATAAAATTCCATGCATTCAAAACAATTAAGCAATGTCCAGGGATAACACAAAACAAACACATTCAAGAAGTTCAAGCAATCCAGGCTATTATTTTACCTCAAGGCTCTCCATGAAACAGAGGAATTACGAGAATTGCAAGGAACTCACGTAATTCACGTCTGCCAACGTTTATCAGTAAACTACGAAATTCCAGAAATCCTACTATCCAGAGCACTTAAGGATCAGCAACGATTACCATGTAAGTAAGAGATCGAAGGTATCCAAGCACTTCCATCAAATTAGGACCGTCGAGGATTACGAGAAAACTCAGAAAAACCAAACGTTCCGCGGATTCACAACTGTTACGGACTTTCAAGGATTATCACGATGCTAACCCAAAATTGCAAGCTGCCAAGATATTTGCGACTGTGAAGGATTATCAAGCAACTAGATTCTAAAAAAGGTATATTAGCGAACCTTTGCCCAGAGGAAGAACCTTTCAGGTTTCGTAAGAAACGAACTTAAGAAAGGTTTCGCCGACTTGGTCGAATCATTATTAGATTCGGTCAGTTTCTAAGGAGTATTGGAGTATAAGAAGTATTCTAAGTATTGGAGTATATATGTAATCAAGGTCTGTTTGAACTTAGGAAAACTCAAACGCCTAATATCCAAATAGAGAGCAACAAATTTCACTATACAACCACTTATGTAATAACAATACAAAAGCAATTGGAGCAGAAACAAATAAAAAAATAAAAAAACGAAAAAGGATCAAATACAGACACATCTCAAAAGTTCTTTCCTAAAACCTGAATTTCTGATTACGAGATTATCACTGGTGAGAAAAAAACGCTTCCGAGCCAATGCAGTGGCCGTTTAAGATATTTTCAAATTTAAGCGAATAAAACCATAATCATAACCCATATTTAATCAACAGTTATATATTTTCACAAACGTCAAAAATCAAGCAAAATATATCATAAAATAATAGACTTTATGCACTCAAAACTATCTATAAGAAGAAGAGAGTTTTGAAGTACCATCTTTCCCTTGGATTTAAAAATATAATATAAAAATAGGGTGAGTCTATTGACACTCCCAGGAGTGTCAACAAGGAGCTATTGCCAGGCCCGGGCGTGTCAACAAGGAGCTATTGTCACGCCCGGACGTGTCAACAAGAAGCTATTGCCACGCCCGGGCGTGTCAACAAGGAGCTATTGCCACGCCCGGGCGTGTCAACAAGAAACTATTGCCACTCCTTGGGCGTGTCAACAAGAAGCTATTGCCACGCCCGGGCGTGTCAACAAGAAGCTATTGCCACTCCTTGGGCGTGTCTAGTCTTCTCTGTTGAGATTCATACCTATATTTCGCTTTTATCAAAAAATATACTCGTCCGCATAGATTAACATTTTTTTTCCGATAGATATTTTCTTATATAAAGGCATGATTTATCTTTATTTCTTCAACGTTTCCAGAGAGCTTCACTTCAAGACTTTGGAAAACAATTCGAAAGCCAT